CCTCAGGGTTGCCTTTGCATTATTTGTTCTGAATCTGTGGCTGTGGATTGCTGCACCACACCTGAGCTAGAGCTCAGGTATCCAGATTTTATTTCACTGGCACACAGTTTCTAGCAGGACCACATAACTGTTTGAGTGCTGAATCATCACAAACAGTGTTTACATAACACTGGCTGACGAAGCATTGTATAATGATTGTTAAGGTCCTAAATCCAAACTGCTTCAGTTTTAGAATTGTCCTGGATTACCGGTGTATAAAACATTGTAACGAAAGCTGCAAATGTGCCGTAGTAGAAAACAGACTGAAGAGGACAACAGGGAAAACTGCTCTCATCTCACCATCCTTGGCAGCAAGAAGGCCCAAATATGATTTTAATGATGCTTCTCTGAAGTCCTGGCACTCAGTTTCCTTTGCTTCCCAAACTTTTCTTTACTTTACATTTGATACTTTATATTCCTATTTATAATTAAAACTTGGATTACTGAAGAATTCTTAGAATCTGAAAATTTATGCTACAATTTTTTACAATTAAGCCTAAAGTAGTATTTTTCAAATGTAGAAATGGACTGTATCTTATGCTTCATTTCAGTCTTTTCTTAACCTTAACTAAGGTTTTTAACCATAACAACCATAACTTAACATTCATTCATGTGTCATTTGCAATGAGCAGATCTTGTCAGGAAAGCAAAGTCAAAGTAAACTTTATTGTCATCTCTGCTACATACAGTACAGTAGAGAGACGAGACGACGAGGCTCCAGTTCCATTCAGTGCAAAAAAACAACAATATATGTAGGAAGAGTAAGACTAAATACACGCTTAGAGACTGAGGTGAGGGGAGTAAATATACACTTTGAGGTAAAACTGTTAAAGGATAAATTAGGTATTGAGATTATGTGATCTGGCATCCATCTATCCTTCTGCTTGTCCAGTTCAGGGTCATGAGTGGGCTGGACCCTATCCCAGCTGTCTCAGGTTGAGAGGCAGGACCCTGGACAGGTCGCCCATCTGGTGCAAACTTTGTGTGGATGTGCCATCCTGGAGGAGCTGTGCTACTTGTGCAGCCTGAATGGGCTGTAGGTACGGTCTCATCTTACCAGCACTAGCAAAAAGCAAAACTAGAGAAAAGTCCATCAGGACAGATTATAAGACAGAGCAATGGTGTGCATTCACCACCTGCAAATTTATTCTCTTTTGGGGAGTGGTCTTGCTGTTGCTTCACCAGTGCACCTATTGTCATTTTGTCCTATTGATGTTTGTACCAAAGTAGCTGAAATTGATTCACAGTGGTTCATGCTTCCAAATTGAACAGACTGATACCCTTGAAGTCGAACTGACTCTCTGTTATACCGTGACTATAAATTTTCCCTTCATTTTTTGAGCAATATAAATAGACAAACATCTGTTTTAGTTACAGTCGCCAATGTTTCTTTACTAGGCTTATTTCTCAATCACTGAGTCTGTCTCCCAGTTGCTTGACTGGTTTTATTGGGTGTAGCTAAGTAGCACACATCAAGCTGTACGCCAAGAGTGAAAAAGACATCGATTCACTGATCCACACCACCATAAAATGCAGCATTGGAATGTCATTGCTGCTTTACTCGGATTGGAAGAGTAAAGTCGGATGGTAACAAAGAGAGGGAAGACAGTCAGAACTGAGGCGATCGAATTAGCAGAAAGCAACATTGCAGACATCGAGGATAGCTACAGGTACCTAGGGCAAATGGGAACCATGAAGATAGCGCTAGGAAAGCTGCAACCACCAAGCACCTGCAGACAGACAAGAGGGTCCTGAGGGGTCAACTGAACGGTGAGAACAAGATCCGGGCTATCAAGACCTACGCCCTGCCCGTGATCAGGTACCCTCGCTGGGATAATGGGCTGACCAAAGGAAGAGATTAAGGCCATTGACATCAAGGTGAGGAGGCTCCTGACCATGCATGGAGGGTTTCATCCCAAGTCCAGCATCCTGAGACTGTATGCTAGGTCTGGGGAAGGTGGCCGGGACTGGTGAGTGTCAGCACCACAGTCCAGGATGAGACAGCGAACATCCACTCAGTGTGCTCAGTGAATACCTCAGGCAGCAGAAACCAGGAAGGACAGGCCCCTGCACGGTATGCACCACCAGCAGATAGAGGAGGTGGCTGATATCCAGAAATCCTACCAGTGGCTGGACAAAGCTGGACTGAAAGACAGCACAGAGACACTAATCATGGCAGCACAGGATGGACTAATCTGAGCACAAGATCCATAGAGGCTGGGGTCTATCACACCAAGCAAGACCCCAGGTGCAGGCTGTGTAAAGATGCTCCAGAGACAATCCAGCACATAACAGCAGGGTGCAAGATGCTAGCAGGCAAGGCATACATGGAACGCCATAACCAAGTGGCCGGCATAGTGTACAGGAACATCTGTGCCGAGTATAATAACTAAAATGGTGGTGGCTAATCAACCGGACATAGTGGTGGTAGACAAACAGAAGAAGATGGCCGTAGTGATCGATCTAGCGAATGACCCCCAAGCTAGCCGAGTGGCTCCAGCAGATCCCAGGAACAACATCTAAGATCTCTGTCCAGTAGAGCGTGGTCTCAGGAACAGCTAAGATATATGCTCTTATATACATTTATTTTTTCATAAATATATGAATATACGAAAAAATAAATGCTTAAAGAGTTTTCAAGCTGATGGCTGCACATTAGACCTCTGAAATTATAAACTGAATCCATTTAAGCCTTAGAATTACTCTCAACATTACAGTATTTTATACAGTTTCTAAATCAGATACATGGACAAGATAATACGTGCACTGCAATCTGGAGGACCAAAGTCTTGTCCTGTTTACTATTTCCAAAGATTTCTCAGATTTCTTGAAGAGAAGGTTCATGGGTGGACATGCAAAAGTGTGACAGAAGAATATGCAAAGGATGGGATGAGGTGGAGACAGATGGTCCACTGTGGCAACCCTTAAATGGAGCAGCCAAAAGAAGTATAAAATGATAAAATCGAGAAACTGCAGTTTTCTGCTGAGAAATATAATTCTTATACTTAACTAATTGTTTAGTTATGAGATGTTCCACCAAGTTCTTTCTTTTCCTTTTCCTTTTCTAGATCTTTTATTTCATGTAACATGGTGAGCTGTTTTGTTATTATTTCTTCAAAAAATATTAGATATATATATTGTATTTCATACTCTTACTCATCACTCGTGATTTACTACGCCCCAGTTCTTATGTTTTATAACAATGATGCAGTCAGCTGTTTTCTGTCTGCCAGCTGACCGCTTCCAGTCCTCAAATATGTCTTTGTGATTCTGCAGACAAGATTGGACACCACAAAAAAACAATGGGCTGTGAAATGTCTGCCTGAGCAACCAGGTTATGTCTTGCTACTGTACCCACATGGTGTATGTTTGAATGAAGCTGTCACTTTATCAGCCCCCCTGCCTTTTGTTATGTTCTGCTTGAGAAAAAGGCATTCAGGGAGAGTTACAGCAGGGCGTTTCTGATTGAAAAATGCAGAAAAATTAAAATATAAATATCAGATGTTTTTGATTAAAACACTTTTTTTCACAGCATTATGAGAGAAAAATTGGTTTTAATCTTTTTCCAAAACTTCTTTCAGGATGTTTGTTGCTGACATTATTACTGGTTATGATATTTGTCATGGAATTACCAAAGGCTTCTTTTCGTGCCCAAAGATGCATTTGAAATTCAGTTCAATTCAGTTTTATTTATACAGCACCAAATCACAACAACAGTCCCCTCAAGGTGCTTGATGTTGTAAGGTCGACCCTACAA